GTATGTCAGATGCTGTATCCGAGATGCAGTCTCGTCAGAATTTATGTCACTTAAACTTCGACTTTGGGCATTCTAAACTTCCCTTTCGCATTGAAGTACTTTTTCAGCGACGCAGTGGCGGGATAATGAAAATGTCTCCTTGTGTAAACAGTTCCAATGGACCAATAGCTCAAGATCGTAAAATCGCCTGGCGACTGGGACTAGCGAGAGAATGAAATTTTGTCGCCAATACTGTATGCGGGAAGCATGCGTGTATGAACGACTTCATAAGACGCAATGTTTCAGAGGTCGAAAGCATGGATCGAGAACTTGCTTATACACAGGAATAAAAATCCTATTCCCCGATACACTGAATATTAATTCTGCATGTGTATTTAATAATTGGGGTTTTGCTGGGAGCAAAATGCACAAATTAATTGTAAATTGTTACCGCATGTGACTGATAACAGAGCTTTATTTATAGTAGATACGGTGTGTCTCGGAATGAAGTCACTAAAAAAGTAATGAACTTGCTTTTTTAACTATCCGTTACGAGCGGAGACAAAAAGTACTTTATTCATAAGGGTGAATTGAGGTGTTATTGTGAAACTCTTGTAGCACATAGAATATACCTTTACTTCCTGAATTGAGTAAGTTTACAGGGTCTATTAGAAAACCTCCCATTACGCTTATAATACAGTTCTCACACGACGAGATTTTGAAATTACAATGTTATTGGTGCAGTCACTCCGCCATTCCCAAAACACCTGCCCAGCTAGCTCAAAACAAAGCAAAGTTGAAACAGAATTTTATCATTTTCCCTCGTACACATTCGGCGTATGTTAGAAGAAAAATCCTAATATTGACTTCATTTTTTAGTGCGCTTTCACTTTCAAAAAATAAAAAGTGCACCTTTGCGCTCCTTATGTCTGTCTATCTGTCTGTCTGTCTGAGTCACAGAAGCTCCGGAACTACACCACTTACAGACTTGGTATTGGTGTCATTCGATCAGAAATTAAAAATTATTTCATGTTTGTATTCTCGTTAAGGCATGAAATGTCCATAACAAATTTGAAAGTGCCTCTTGCTCACAAGCGGCTTGACGAATTTTTTTCAATTTGGAGGACTGGGTGGGCTCTATCGTAGCCTACCGATAGAACTAGCCGTGACACTCATCCCCACTATTGCGTTGACGTCACAACTGACGGCGGCCGTCATATCGACTTTTAATGTAATTAATTCCTAATTCCAAGTAGTTTAATGTTGTACACTTAAATTAACTGTATTCGAACAGAATAAGTACGAAAATGCCAAATACGTGCTGCGTCCCTGGTTGCAAAAGCAATTATAGTTCAAGAGACAAGGTTCCCTACGGTTTTTCGTTTTCCGAAAAATGAAGACGATCAAAAAAGTGGTTAATATGTATTCACCGGGACAATTTTGAAATTACTAGTTACCCCAGGGTTTATACAGGGTGGTGACTTGCGTCACGCATCATAGGGATTTCAATGTAAAATTCATAACATGCGATTATTGCCTCCCCAAATTATTTTAGAGCAAAAATGTATAAAGGTTTTTTGTAGAAAAAAATTTTTTACGTCAATAAACCGTATTAGTTTTCAATTTTTTACATAGTAAAGACGGAAAATTGAGAAAATAAAACCCGCATCTTTTTGAATAATCTGCGATGCCATGAAATTTTCTAAAACAAAAAGATGTCAAGTTGTCAATTAGCAGCTGGATTTTATGATCGACTTGGTTACTGTCTTGCAGTTAATGGTGACTTATTCGAACATTTACTGTCAATTGTTGTATTAGCAAACCGTTTTTAGTAATTTGGTCTTTCTTTATGTTGAATTCGCTGTTCTAAATATAATACTTTTTGATAGAATTTGATTTGTTTTATAGCAGACATTCCATGGCATGACGGATATTGTAGTTTTTGTATTATAAAATTCCATGGCATCACAGATTATTGAAAAAGATGCAGGTTTTATTTTTCCAATATTCTGTCTTCATTATGTAAAAAATTGGAAACTAACGCGGTTGATTGACGTAAAAAATGTTTGTCTATAAAAAACCTTAATACATTTTTGCTCTAAAATAATTTGGGGAGCCAATAATGGCATGTTATGAATTTTACATTGAAATCCCTATGATGCGCGACGCAAGTCACCACCCTGTATAAAGCATTTCTCCGACATTTTCATTATTCGGGTAGACAAGATGACTAGATAAGACGATACAGTATTAACAGTTCCACGAGACCAGATTAAACTTGCCGAAGACACGTATCCCACCATTTTTGAAAATCAGTCATCATATATGAAAAGGATGTAAATGATGAGTTACGGGAAAATATAGACCTTTGCAACTACAAATGACCGAAAATCTGTAGTCTCTAGGTGGCCCAGGGTGGCCGAGATCTCGATGGAACAGAATCAAATTGCATTTAAACACATAGTATCGCGTTGCAGTGGCCCATCTCCAGTTGTGACGTCACTAAATCAATGTCACGGCTAGATCTATCGGTAGGCTACGGCTCTATCAACTTCCGAAAATTTCAACAAACTTGATTATTAACACCTACAATAAATTTTGAGCACGAATAAAAAAATTGAAATGAAGACCGAGATGAAGACTCTATTTGGGTCGGACATAGGATTCTAATAAACACAAATAAATGATTGATGATGACAAAAATTTCGCTTGTTTGGAGATAATACCCCCCACGCAGCCGGGGTTTAGTTAAAACCTCCCCAAACTGCAAATAAACAACGCAATAAACTACAGGTTACCTAATATGCAGCTCTTTACACCATGATTAAACAACGGGGGCTAAAGAGTATACTCGTACTCTTTGATAATATTACAAGCGCTTTGCCCATTATATGCAATGCACATAGTTTGTCCTACCCCTTTTATTTACTTAAAATAAATTATGCTTTTCCTCTCGAATTATTAACAACGCAAAGTAATGATACTAATTTGTGTGGAAAGTGGTGGGAGGAACAGAAGAATACAAGTCAACTTTCAGTAATTCCCGAATTCAATCAGAATGGATGAGGATCTGTGATCTGTGACCAGGATGGTTTAGGAACAATGTTGTCGAGAGTGTCCCATAAAAATTGCAAGAAAAATAATATTTTCGTACTTTTAACGCATTCTAGCGCCATAACAATGCCCTACTTCTAGGGGTTGTCCGTTCGTTCTATCATACTCTTTTTTTTCTGTACGTGGTTTGAGAGAATGGACACATCAGGTTTTCTTAAACCTTGAATGTTGAAGTGTTCTAGTCTATAAAAAAATACTTCATTACTTCACTCTGTTGAGCACACTTCTTTGGATGGTGTGAAAAATACCATGGAAAACTGACATTTGAGACTGTCTAAAAGCCTTTAAACCCTTGGAACGGATTGGAATGACCTTAGAATGCGTGAAGGAATCTACCTACGAGTCGTCATCACTGGCACTGTTCCTCTTCTCCCATCAGATGATACAGTCTGCAGTTCACCAGCATCTCCAGCTGAAATTTTTTCCACGCACCACTACCATTTAACAGAACCATAAGGAGACATAAAAATAAGACGTGTTTATAAATAAACTAAAGTGGCGGGTTGGTACGTTGAAGGGATAGAAAAATGCTCAAAATTTGAACTGTATGATCGATGTGAATTTGAAAGTTGTTCTGTGAACTGGTGTCAACAATTTGACTATGTTGAAAAACAATATTATAATTCTAAACATTCACACATTTCACGATTCTTTGGTCAATATTTAACATCATGTAATGCGATTCGATTATAAGAAGAGGCCGCCAGTTTGGGTATTTATCCAAATGTCCAAACGTTTAATGTAGATTACATACCATACTTACTACATCCCTACTGTTTATCTTACAAAGCGACCAAGTTAAAATTTTCCAGATGCTTTTAAAACGAATTTAAGTCGTTTATAAATAGCGCAACAATCTGAACTTTACGAATTTTATTTAATATCTAATCCAATCGCCCTACTCTAATTGGACCGCATACTTACAAATTATCCATACTTTTCCTACTAATGGGGACCGTATGATGAAACTTGTACATCAACTTACTCGGCTAATTTAAAAATACGATACCATTAAAGAATTTAATGCAATAGTAAATGTGGGATTACATTTGATCATCGTGGCATCCAGCCAATACGGTTAAAATATTATTTAATTTTGTAAAGTAAACATTTCTGGATATACCTAAGCCAATTTGGCTACAAGCACTTTAATTAAATATTAAATCATTTTTTTCGGAAATATAATTTTTTTTTGGGCATCATTAGCAAAATTTTGAAAAAAAACAGGAGAAGCTGGGAGTATCGAACTTTAAACAGTTTCTATTTGCCAAATTCGTGAAATTGTATTTTTAGTTTTACAGAAGTACACTTCCTACTTCCTAGTGTTCGTGTCTGTGTTCGTCCAAAAATAAGAATGAGGAAGTAATACCTACCCATTTTCAACAATTCAGTATCATTTCGTCTAGTCTATGTGATTTTTATGATGTTAACCGTATTTTTGGAACCCTTGAGGTGTAAGAACAATAGCAAGTAGGTAGGTACGTTTCCGCAGTACGAAAGCGAGACCGCACAAGCACAAGTTGTAAACTTTTGAATGACTGAAGCAGTTGGGGGATATAAAACTGAACTAATTGCTAGACATGTCCAACATAATTCAAAATTAACTTTAACATGTAGCCATTTCCGCCATCAAGTAGTTTTGTACAAAAATACTCCAACAGTCTCCTTATCCTTTCAAATATCTACAACAAATGTCCTACCAACATATAGTGTGAAAAATACCCCCTCTTGCGTTACCTACACAGTTGTATAATAGAGTGGAAGCTCGGTTACAGCCCCTGGTTCGAATGCGGGTTTGGCCATTGACCTTTTGTAAATGTATAGTGCAGATAAAAAAATAAAAAAAACATTCTGGCTGGTTGGTTTTCTCACAGCGATTTTTCGAATACAATTTATTGAAACTCCTGAATAACTTTACACAAAAACTTAAATGAAATCGCATTTACTGTTGCAATCTAATCCGATTGCTCTCCCTCGCTTGCTCAAGCCGTTGACGTAAAGCAATAAGTTCGGGTGTGTTCTCTAGTCTGCTAATCTGCTTGCTCACCTTTTTCATTTTAATCGTCCTACTTTCAGCAACGAACCGCTTCACTTCGTCGAGAGTTTCCTGTTGCCTCTTCTTGTTGGACAATATTGCCTCTCGCTTGTTATCTAAATCTTCCTGCATCTGTAACCTGAGGAGCCCCAAACGCTCCTTCAGCTCGGCAATAGACATTTCGCATAGGAAGCCAAAGTTGGGCGACTCAGTTGGATCGAACTCCTTCACTTGCAGCGTACGCACCTGCTGCAACGCGCGTAATTCCTGTATCAAACGAACTTTTTCGGCCAACTCTCGCTGCCGCTTTTCGTAAGCTTCGCGCAGTATGTCTTTGGTTTCGTTCTCCACCATTCTCGCCTGCATTCGCTTGCTTTGCTGCAGTTTAATCTCAGCCTCTCTCGCTCCCTTTTCGATACTATGGCATTTCTCGACCAGCGCCCTTATTTTTTCCTGCTCCCTTAATTTCCACGCCTCAATTTCTTCCAAAATCCGCACGCGGTCTTTTTTGAACTCCTCATTCCTGGCTTGATTTTCTTTGAGCAAATTTTGTTTGGCCAATTTCGATTCTTCGTACGTGATTAAACCTCGAAGATGCTTTCGCTCTATCTCTTGCAGGTACTGCTGCTCCTTACATTTGCGAATTTCTTCCTCAAGAACGTCTACAGCGGTGTGATCAAAACCGCCTTGCATTAGGTAGTCCAATTTTTTTATTTCAGTTTCTTTGCCCTTGACGAGGGTTGCTGCTTCTCTCATTAATGAAGCAGTGGTTCCTTTAACCGGTACGTCTTTTCGCTTGGGAATTTTTGAGAACTTGATCCGAAACGGTTCCAGTTCTAGTCGATCTTGAATGATTTTTTTGGGCGTGTTTGCACACTTGAAAGCATGTTGTCTGGCGAAATTCAAAAGTGCATGGGCTTTCTCACGGTTATTCTCATGCGCCTTTGCTAATAGGAGTTCCGTTTTCTCGTTGTTGTGACTAATAGGCTTAAAGCGAACTTTTTGAAGTTCGGCAACAGAATTTGCGGGAGTCGGTGGTACCCGAAAAGAATGGCGTTTTGAGCACGTAGGCGTCAATGGCCGTGTGCAGTGAAGTTTAGATTTAACTGCATGCTTGGCTTTCAGTCTGTCGTCTAACGTGCGATGCACTTCTGCAATTAACTTCGTTTTTACCAAAATAGGTTTAACAATATTTTCTAAAACGTATTCATTATCGTAAATCCTACAACCAGCTTGAGTGATATCGACGACATTATCTTCTACTGAAAAATACTCCAGAACTTTGATGCTGTACCTAAAGTTTAATTGCTCCAACATTTGAGAGATCGCTTTACAGGTTTGTTCTTCTAATTTAAAAATTACCACGTAAAACAGAATGGCCAAGAGCTCTTTGTTAAACCGTTTCATTTTATAGTAACCCCAAAAATTTCCAACTACAATCTGTAGGAAGCGGTCATGCTTCATTAAGAATAAGAAATTGTTACACAGCTCTTGTTTGAAATCGTCTAATTGCTCTTCTTCCTCGTATATCCTGTCCACAAATTCAACTGGAGTCATATCAGAAAATGTGGAATATTTCTTGGTTAGTTTTAGTAAACGTTTTACAAGTTCCAAAGTGTCGGAATGCGCCATTTTAGTTAATCAATGCCAAATTTGAAATACGTCAAATCACGTTAAAACAAAGGGAGTTGTAACATATTTTCTTCTTTTCCAGGTAATCGGCGGTTCCCCAGCCGAAAGGGCCGGATTAATTGCAGGAGATACGGTTATTAAAATTAATAATACGGATGTATTTAACCTGCGACACAAAGATGCACAGGATGTTATACTTAGAGCTGGAAATGCGTTTGATGTTGCAATCCATAGGTAAATGACTAATTAAAAGTTATCAGCCAAGACATTTTTGATCGACTGCCATTGTTGCAATAATCTATCTTTAGAGGTGGCTCTACGTGGAAACCTGCCGTTACACCTGTCGGTCCAATATCATCTCCTCGTCCAGCAGCATCGCTAAGTAATAATCTTTCACCAGTAACTCACACTTCTTTAGCAGCTAAAAAACAAGGATCTATTGACTCGATTGGTACAGGTCACAACGTCTCGGCAAAACCATATCATCAGGTAAGCAATTTTGCTTTGTACTTGAAGGGCAAGTCAAAGACGTATTTTTTAGATTAATGGTGGACCAAAGTTAGTCAACAAACAATACAATTCTCCACTACCAATTTATTCGGAACAAAGTATAGCCGAAACACTTTCGGCCCAAACTGAAGTACTCGCTAATGGTGTTTTAGGGTAAGTAATTATTAAAAATGTATAGCGGAGTTTATTTCATTTGACAATTTACGCTCACTGGCGAGGTTTGTTTGTTGTTTTGACATTTCGTCACCTAAACCTGCTCACAAATTAATTGTGTGATTTATTTCCTATACAGTTTCCGTTTTTGGTATCAATTCAAATTAGACCACATTTTTAACGTGCCAAGTAGCTCTGTTAGGTACCTACAGATAATGGAGCGGCATCATTTTTTTAAATAAAATATGACGACGTATTGGGTCACAATTCGGAGTACCTCTTGCTTTGGAAGACAAAATTTTCGGCGCCCAGCTTTTTGGAAGCTTCTTCGTCTGGATTACTCTTTTTGTGTGTCCTTTACACAGCTAAGATAGCAACTGTTCGCTACTTAGCGAGTACCTCAAAAGTGACCTTGTAGGAGATTCTACGTGAATCTATAGCTTTTTAAGGGGAAATTTTCAACAGAAATTCCCGTTATATGATGGTTTGGTCCGCCCGTCTGTCCGTCCATCTGTCTGTCGTCTAACTCAAGAACGAAAAAAAAACCGCGATGTCAAACCTTCGCTGGTCGATTTCTACAAATTCAAGGATCAGTGCTATATAATATGAGCCGAATTAAACGTCGTTTTTCCGAATACGAGCTGAATGTCAAAAAATTCGCCTACTCAACATGCGATTCTTCGTATATCTTGTCTGAATGGGGTGGGAGCGGCCACTGCGAGCGAAACGAAACTAAGCTAAGCGAAGATAAGTTTCCACTTTTCCGGTAAATTATTACCATACTTTTAAATGTACCCTCGGTCATTTCAGCTAAACTAAGCCAAGATTTGTAAACGAAGATTTCGTTGAATCGATTTAGCTCGTATTTGATTCGGGTGAAGTTTTGAAGATTGATAAAGGATACATTTCTATGGTTTATTCCTGAACCTCCTCTCTCTCCCTCTAAAAAATCAAGGAAAGTCGATGAATAATTTTTTGAAATGTAAACTTACAGTCAAAAAATGGGGATGATTTGAAAAAAGTTACGATTACAGAACTTGCAGCAAATGTCCTCCCTTTTTAGCGTTTTTACCCCCTCGGACCATATTTACAATGGTAATTGGTCAAAAATTTAGCATACCTCGCTGCTAATTTGTTATTTTAAATTAAAACAAATTTTCCGCTCACATATTCTCAACAACGTCGAGTCTTTAGGGTCTTTGTCTTCATAGCCGTCGTTCATGCGGATTTCTAAGAATGGTCCAAGGACTCTTAAGGTCTCAAATGGATTCCAGAGTCCTTCTTGGTATTCCGAGCTTCCAGGGGTCGCAGAATTTGATTAAATGCTCTGAAGATTAGGATTCTAAAGACAGGATGCGAGCAATCATTTTGGAATAACACTAAATTAGTGCTAAGTTATGGTATATTACTTATCATTGTTGTTACCACTCGAACGTTAGTAAGGGGGGCATTACATTGGGGTAGAAAATGACCCCCCTCCACTTTCTTGGCGAAAATACACGTTTTGAAGCACTAATAATAATAATAACTAAGAATCCGAATCAAACAATAGCTCGATGATGTCGGTCTGTTTGGACTTTCATTTCCGGCTAAACGGCTGAACCGATTGGAACCAAATTCTTAGACATAAAAATAAAAGCTGAAAAAACTCACTTAGTAAGAAGAGTATTCCGATATTGGTTACAACATTCAGCCTCCGGCCTCTCTTTACTCCACCAAGGTGCATTTATCACTAAAAGATACTTTTTTTGGATCTTTTCGTTGATAATTTTTAGCTTCAGTTATCTTTTTTTGGAAGTTTTCTTTGAAGATTTCTTTAGGGACCAAAAAACATCTTGGTTTGGTTAGGTACTTCGAATCCTTGGGACACGGTCAACTCGCCAAGGGCGACTCGCCACCGGACTACTCGCCACCGACCGACTAGCCAACGGGACAACTCGCCAACGCGACAACTCGCCAACGGGACAACTCGCCACCGCGACAACTCGCCAATGCGACAACTCGCCAACGGACGACTCGCCACTGCGACAACTCGCCAACGGAATATTTTTCCCAGTTTAATGTGTCATACAAATGCATCCCACAAATGCAATAGTCAATTTCCCTAATTTTGTAAACAAAGTTTATCGAAAAATTGTAGTCAATATTTGAATGAAGACCCAACCGCCAATACCTGTTTCAATTACTGTATTTTGATATAACGTCTTCTTCTGCAAATTATTATTTGAACAGAAAATTTGAAAATCACATCGTTATATGAACGACGCATTAAACAGGGAAGAATATTTCGTTGCCGAGTTGCCGCAGTGGCGAGTCGTCCGTTGGCGAGTTGTCGTATTGGCGAGTTGTCGCGTTGGCGAGTTGTCCCGTTAGCGAGTCAGTCGGTGGCGAGTGGTCCGGTGGCGAGTCGCCCTTGGCGAGATGACGCGTACCGAAAACCTTTTGTGACTTTATTGATGGTAAGGATCCTTACATACTCTTTAATAAAAAATTTGGGCAAACTCTTTTGAGCTATTTCTGGGGCTTATAAAAGGTCACATCTAATGGTGGAATATAAGGCGGTGTACTGTACACCCCTATGGTGAAGTGGTTATCAATGATAAGTAGCACTGGGTTATCGTTAAAAATTTTACATGAAAAGGATGTAAGCAAAAAAGAAATTTTCATTGATGCATCCGTTGGAAGAACACATTCGTCGGCGCGTGAAAATGAAAAAAACGCATTGGGGGCACATAGATAACGGGCGCGCTTTTCTTTTTCCGCACTTCTTCAATGTTCCTACTCTCCGTTGACCCTTTTGTGCTAATATTTTGTTGCACTTGGTCGTTAGCATTCAGGATGCGCCTAAAATCTGTCAAATGAAAGTTGCTCCAATTCATTGAGTTGATTTTGATCCATTAATTCTAAGCAAGTTCGTGTAATATAATTTTTCCCTTCTTTATTACTTCAGTGTCAACTTTAAGAAAAACGAAAAATCCTACAATGCAGAGAACAGCGAAGTATTCCGTATGGTCCAAGAAGCCGATAAGGAACCTAGGGACTACGAATCAGGTAATGTATCAGCTCGTTTAGTAATACACGATTCCGTCAAGGGGTTCGATTCACTTTTACACCGAAACACTTATAATTGCCCACTTTAATATAGAACCAGAAACAACTAGTTCAGGTGTGGTAACCACACCCTTGGGGGTAGCGGGTCTTAGACACGTAGCAGCTCCGGAAAATAAGCCGGCACCTCCCACACCACAATTACCTCCAGGTCAAAATATTTGTGCCGATTGCGAACGTTTAATTGTGTAAGTAACCATAGGTTAGATACCCCTACAGGTAACCTACCAGGATAGAGGATGCTCGCGACACTCAATTCACACTGAAAAGAAAATGTTTGCCAATTTATTGATTCTATACATCTTCTTCCTAGTAAACCGCCCAAACTTTTATGCTACTCATAGTCACGCAATTGGTGGTCAGACAACAGCAGTTTCTACTACCCCGAGCGCTGATCACATAGACCAAGAAGGTACAGACTCTCGCCAGTCTGAACCTGACGAAAAATCAAGTAGCGCTGCTAATCAGCAGATTACCAAATGTAGTGATTGTGATAGGGTTCTAGTGTAAGTGTAATGAATGTTAGATCAATTCTAAATGTTGTACTCCTTTTAGTTTGACGCCTTATTGTCCACCGAAAATATCTGTTCATTATACAACCTATTAGATTGCATAAAAGGTCTTGGTGGACGTTTTCTGTGTGCTTGTCTTATGAGTTGCACGTTTTTTTGTTCTATACCTATTATTTGTAATAACTTAGCCTAATTGCACTGTTTCTGTTATAGGGGAGTTTTTGTACGAATAAAAGATAAAAATCTACACGTTGAGTGCTTTAAGTGTGCAACTTGTGGAACTTCATTGAAAAACGTTGGGTAAGTGTTCTTCACGTATATGTACTAACTAAACGTGACTAAATCACTTGTCCTGACCTGATTTGGAGTTAGGTCAACCTAGACGAATTCTTCTTTATATTATTAGTACTGAGGCACTACAGATTCTTTTATTGTTGTAGGTACTACAATTTGAACAATAAACTTTACTGTGACGTACACGCGAAATTAGCCGCAAGAAATAATCCTCCTGCTCCTAATTTGCAACCAATTACCGTTCCTCCGTAAGACAGACCATTGTATAGTTTCCCCAATACTATCTACTCTATTTGCAGAGGTGGTAAAATTCCTAGCGGGACGATATCGGCGGCTTTATCCTCACACTCACTACCCTCGCCATTGTCTTTGTCGCCAAATACCAATTACTCTGCCGCTCCGTATCAGGTGAGTTAAATGCCAGGAAGATACCAATGTAAAGTGTATAATATTCTAGTCGGGGCCGACGAGCTATACGGGGCCGACGAGCTATACGGCTCCTAGACCGTTCTCGAGCGTAGCGGCTCCCTTGTCACCATCCACCTATACACCACTTTCGCCTTCAACACCATATACAGGTAACTAAATCCTTTCGTAAGACCTAAAATCATATTCTGACAACAAAATAAATCTCCCTTAGGTCGATCTGGTGTTAAACCCGGTGCACCATATAGAGGTAGCTTTAATACTTATTGCTTTGCTTAAGCTTTTATCGTTAAATCTTAACTACTGTTAGGATAACACTGCTCGATTGCTTACTCATTTGCTTTTTTTTTTTTTTCCTCCTTGCCGAACCAACGTGTGTGCGTTATGTTTTGTCTGTAAGAATCTCGTGGTGTTCAAAATACCGTGTGGCCTCCTATCACCAACGAACCTGAAGTTCCCACTGCAAGTCCCCTGTACTTTCCTCCCCCATCGCAAGTCCAAGCGTATCAGAAGCTTTTATTGGACGACGCCGAAATTAGATCGAAAGAGACTATTACAGCTGAGGAAGAAATGAGTTTCATTAAAGAATTTGAGCAGGAACGCAACATGTCGCTGTGCTCAACTGAAGTTTACAACATAACTGGTAGGCGCAGTGCAGTAGAATGCTCCGAAACAATTTCTGACACCATTGATCGACAAATTCTCGTTGAGTCAATCGTGAAATCAAGACCCAAATCCCCTCCTCCTATAAAACCAAAACCGAAACCTGATGATGTTAGTGTGACCTTTACAATTTCGGAAGCTGATCTAAAACAAGGAACTTACAAATGTAAAAGTTTGGAAGGTGATGAAATGAACGATATAAAAGTTGCTCCCAAAGAGACTTCAGTGTATAGCACGATTTCCGAAGTAGCCCCAAAGGAAGTGGCGGCCTGCAAGTCAGGTTCGTCTGAGGTAAGTGCAGTTAAAACGACGAAAACTTGCTTGAGAGAATCGCACTCTCAGTCTTTGGCCTCGATGTATGAAAAGAAAGTGAAGGTTGAAAATACGGTGCCCCACAAGTGGGAATCTTCTATGGTTACGGCATTAACGGTCGCATCAGATAAACCATACACAAAAATGGCCGAAATAAAAGAACAAACCGATACATTTTCGGAAATTCCTACTACGACGTCAACTAGTGCCCTTGCCTCCGCGTTAGCAGTTGCCCCGGCCGTGCCGTTCACGCCCGCGACGACAGCATCATTGGAACCCATTCCTTTGCCCGAAGAAACTATTCCATACTTTCCTCCGGAACATCCCATAATACCTGCACCCACAGAATCGACGGAGGAGAAAAAGGGATCGAAAAAGGTTTACGGAAAGAAAAAGGAGGAAGTTGATACGCTATTCCAGGACCTTCCAACACCTCCAGCTGAAAAGATCAGTATGCTAGCGGCGCTGACGACTGCTCCTGCTAGACCTTACTCTCCCTTCGCGGCAGAATCTGTGACATTGACCGGAAATACTCAAAAAGAAGTAACATCCGAAGAAGCTAGGGCAAAAGTTGAAGTGCAAAAAACGAAACCGGTTGTTGCTACGAAGTCATTGGAGGACTATTCATTTTTTGCTCATGCTTCCAAGCCAATTCTGAGAACTTACGTACCATATGCCAAATTGGAGACGAGCGAAGTGACAGATACGTCTACTACGGTATCAAAATTAGAGGACGAAAGCCGAACTGAACATGAAACGCGCGAGGAACACGCTGCTGAAAAGTTGGAAGTCTCAAAAAACGTTCACTCCTCGGAAAACATTACGAATGTATGCACCGGGCTTCCACCAATGATTCAGGTGGTAAGATCCACTTTCGAAACCGGCACCGACAAGGTCCAGATGGAGATGTCGTGTCAGTATTTAGGTGAAAACGTGCCTCAAAAGCAGATCATTGAAAGGCACACGACTACCGATGTTAGTCAACAGCAAGCAATGGAACATAGAACAACTGAAGGACGTAAGACATCTGAGGTGGTCCAAAGCAAAACATCAGAAGAAGAACGAAAACTGCAGAGGACTGAGCAATCTCGGCAAACATTTGATGAATTCTCCGGTCCGAAGAAAACTATACCAATGGTGGACTTTGACGCTCTCCAAAACGTAACAGAGAGTGTGATGTTACAAAAAGCGACGGCTGTGGATCACTCTAAATCCCAGCGAAGGACCGGCTCGACAGAATGTAAGGAACGACAAACAATTGCGCCCAAGGCGGCGTTGCCAGCCATGGTTAACGTGGAAGCTCTTCCAACGTCCCGTCCAGTATCAGAGACCGTAGTGAAAAAAGCAGCATCTAGCTTTCAATCCGAAGATCATAGCTTTATGGCTGAGCAGTTTCGTACTAGTAAAGCAAATAAAGAGCCAATAACCGTCATTAAACCTGGCGAATCAAATTTAAACGTACCCCAAATATCTTTCCAACCAGTTGTTGAAGATTCTCGTAGCAGCACCACCTTCTCCCCAAGACCTAGAGCGTTGACCCCAAGCATGATAAATAAACCACCACCAGTGCTGCCGTACTATCAGGCCAGTTTAGTTGCACAAGAATGCTCAGCCGTAGGAGCAAGCTTATTTGACCCTACTAGCCCCGCTATTTCGAGGTCCCCTTCGCCGTGTGTTGTACGACCGTCATCGCCTTTTGTAACACCTTCCGCCGCCCTCAGGCCCGTGTCACCTGCTCAAGGTCCACCGCATAATCCGCTCGAATCGCACAAATCTCTGCACGAAATCAAACACGAAGGAAAAGTCCAAGAAGCTCGCAGTCACGTGCAGACCTTCATTCCGCAACATCAGAGTAAACTGCAGCATTCAGTGCAACAATCGTACAAAGTGGAACCTCCGAAAGTATCGGAAGTATTCTCAGTGGGTAGCGATAAAAGTGTAACAGTAAGGCAAAGTGCCAAGCAAGCAGATCTTTGTGAAATGAGCAAAATGGAAAATAAGAGTGTACAATTCCAAAGCGATGGGAATGTACAAATTCAGCGCAGAACGCATGTGACTGAAGAATATGAACATCAACAAAAATCTCGAGTTGTGCAAATCGAGAAACTGTCAAGTAGTACGAAACTTGTAGACGAAAAACAGGCGGTCGGTGCTTTATCGGGAGGTCAGACTTCCGTTGGATTTCACTTTACTAATCCACAACCGTTAAAATCTCCGTTTCTTGGGGCGAGTACGCCCGTGACCGATGCACAAAGCAAAATTCCGAAAAGAATTCAGCAGAATGACCCCGGTGCTAAGACTAACACTGTTAACCCGACCGCTTCAGCTTCTGTCCCATCAGCTAAAGTGTGTCCCAACAAAAATGTTACTAAGCCTAGTGTATCCCAACCCAATGCAGGCACAGGTGGAGGTCGACAAGCCGGAGCAATTGGCGTCGCTCCAAAACGTGGTCGTGGAGTTCTTAACTTGGCTGCTGGTCCGGGTTCAAGGGTGCCATTATGTGCACAGTGCAATGCTAACATCAGGTATCTTATTGTGGTGTTCATGTTGTCTGCGCACGCATGTATCATTGTTCCTAACCCGCTTCCTTCGCTGCACATGCAATTGCGCTAAAACAAATTAGTGTAAACACATTTCAGTGACATTCGATAAGACTGTAAATGGCAGCAATGGAGAGAGCAAAAAGACTTACTATAGTGAAATTAATATTACCATACCTGCCTCACCTTCCAACGGAACAGGCGATGAAAGGAACCTAACTCCACTTCTAATAACGGACAACTCACAAATGAAATCTCCGCGAATGATTGCGGAAATTCAAAAACTGGCAGATGAATTAGATAATGTGAATGATGAACTGACGCTGTATTCCAGTACTAACAAGCTAGCGCCTAAACCCGCATCTGTACCTATTTTGCACTCTACTAACTCTTTATTAACAATCGACCAGCGAAACCAAGACACGCTCAAGTCGCCTAAAAATGACAGGCGAAGTAATGTTTGCTGTGTTTGTAGGACTGAAAAGGAGAGGTACTTATTTTTCTTGTTCTAGTAACTAATAAATCATACTTAAAGAAATTCCTTTAATATTAATGTTTAGGGGACCGTTCATAACTGCTCTCGGTAAAATTTGGTGCCCTGATCACTTTATATGCGCAACGCCTTCTTGCCGAAGACCGTTGCATGATCTTGGTTTCGTGGAAGAGCACGGTCAGTTGTACTGTGAATACTGTTTCGAGCAGTACCTCGCTCCTCCTTGCTCGAAGTGCAATGCGAAAATCAAGGGAGTACGTTAATTCAAAGCGTGTAAATCTCGACACTAAAGAATGAGTTTTAAGGATTGTCTCAAGGCAATTGGTAGGAATTTCCATCCTGAATGCTTCAATTGCGTGTATTGTGGGAAACTCTTTGGAAATTCCCCGTTCTTCTTGGAGGATGCCCAACCCTACTGTGAAACCGGTAAATTCGTTTTTCATGCATTCACTCTCTGAGTGTCTAAACGGTTTTAGATTGGAACGAACTATTTACAACTAAGTGTTTTGCCTGCGGATTCCCAGTTGAAGCCGGAGACCGTTGGGTAGAAGCGCTTAATAACAATTACCACAGCCAATGCTTCAATTGCACGGTAAGTGTTGCCAATCAATCTCCGTAGACAATCACATATTTGTACGTTTCAGATGTGCAAAAAGAATCTGGAGGGACAAAGTTTCTTTGCCAAAGGCGGACGTCCTTTCTGCAAGAATCACGCTCGTTAAGCGTTCTACCTAATATTGCAATTTGTTGTTATTTATGTTACTGTTAATATTCTGTTAGGTACTGGCATATCTAGAACTAGGAAGATCAAAATTCTAGAACGTCCTAATTGATAATGATAAATAAGTTGCTTATAACATTCTTGCCAAAAGAAAAACATTCGTTAATTTTTGTCTGAGGACATTCAATAAGTATGAAACGAGTTTGTTCCTTCTAAATGTGTGTACTGAGATTATTATGTTATTAATAATGTTCGTCAGTTATGCTTTTTTTTGTTTTTGATGTATATTTTTGATTAATTGTTGTTTATGTGTTACCAGCATTGATTTTATGGAATGTTAAGTGTCATACTACGTGTACCGTACAGCTTGTATGCTTCAATAAATTATAGTTTTTGATCAAAATTCTGATATGATTTTTCGTGCCAACATTTAAAGTGTAACCTTATCGTTACCGAATACCGAGCAAAGCAATATTTGAAAAAAACGTACACATTTTCTTACGTAATAAACAATCCTTTATCTACCATTCAAAACCGTTTTCATATACAATCTAGCTACCTACACCTGCATCTAGGGGATGGCGACCGATTTCTTCGAGACCTTTGCTGATTTGTACGTTTCTAGCGAATTTTTGCAAATTTATTTGTAAGAAGGTAACTTAATCTTACTTTGGCAGGCCCAAAAAATAAGCTTCAGAGGACGTTCATCGTAAAGCAACTCAACAGATTTTTTTCAGATACATAGAAAATATATGAAATTGAATCATGTGCGCTAAAATTTTTAATTTTTTTTGAATTTTGTAGAGATAGGTAAAATGTAAATTTTTGAAATTTGAAGGGTTATAGCAATTTAGGTATTTGTATCAGGTGGTCGCTTTGGGATCAGAAAGTTTTTGTTTTGAATTTACAAATTTGGCAGTATAGAAAATCTTATACGTGTACCGTTCCATAATGAAAGAGAACAGAACTAATATACGAGAAAATGAAGCGCGTTAAGATAAGGAACGAGTGTGGAATAGGTAAGAGTAAAAACGCCACAATGTTGTCGTTCTAAAAACCGTTTTTATGGAGCATGAAGGACGCCCATATCTTTACACGTTTAAAAAACATAGCCGGAGCTTGGTGCGCTTTGGGCCCGTTTCGGCGAGTACATATGAAAATTAAGTACGAGAGGTGGATTCTTTTGCAAAACTACGTAACTCGAGCGCGTAACTGGGTTTTTTTGCCAATCATTCTGAGCGACTTTATGTGTGTGCGCCATTTGTATATCCCGTACTACATTCTTCACCAAATTTTCCAAGCGAAACTATATGAGTAGAGAACGACATTTTGAGATCGCATAATATTTAATTTTTAATTATTGGTTCGAACTGAAACCGCATTTTCGAAGTTTACAAAAGAACGGTCAGCGACGTAGTCGTACGTGATACTTTATTGAGAAAGTTGAAGCTAATTACCGAACTTTCAGGGAAAATTGTGCCACCATTGCATTATTGGATTAGTGTGCTCGCGTTTAAATAGATTGTTACCAGGAAAGCGTTGTGCTCTAAGGTACAGACAGTTCATTGCGTTTATATTTGGGGCGGTTAGATTATAGAAAAGTTTATTAATCAAAATTGTACACCTCTATTGTATATACTGGGTGGTAATAGATTTTGAATTAAACGGCAACCGGTATAAAGTTTAAAAACGATTAATTCGCACTTTTGCTAGCTGTTAAGCCCTAGTAGTAGTAGTAGTAGGGTAGTTTTGACATTTCCCCACGGCATCCAGTGGATAAACAAAAGTTCAATTATTAAATTTCGAGAGAAACCTGAAGCCCAGTTTGTTCCTGATTTGGGGTAGTCAATCATCTCTCAAAACTAAGCAGTTAAATTTGCCAGACCATACACAAGAGCTTGATTTTTAATCGATAATTTTATTCACTGAAATTATGTTGCCTCCTGGAAAAACTCTCGATCAAAAGCATAAGATAAAATCGCTCCAGCCAAAGCTGTGACGATTTTGGTGATTTTTCTCATTAGTTGAAAAGTTGGAGTTCATAGATACCATTCTTTTGTGTGGGTTAAAATTTTATTTAGCATCCAGTGGCGTGTAAATTTTGTTTTTGAATAAGAAAATGTACCGAGTGTTGGAATAATTACAAATAGTGAAAACCTAGATGAATAATTAGATGTGGAACGTGATTACTTAAAATTTCAAATTTATATTCGTTAAATTAATTACATTGATATTTTAAATCACGAAAAGGAAAAGTGGAGTTGGGACCATTTTATTGCTACCAATATATTCAGACCAGTGAAATTACATGAGTATTTATTTTATCGTGATCACACCAGAAAATCCGGTTTTAATTTTCAGATTATAAGTGGAAATAACGAACCAACCTTTTATTCATTACCGAGCTAGCCGTGGCATTAATCATTTCATTACAAAAAATTAATTGTTACCAGTACCGCCGTACAGAATAAAATAATAATTGTAACTAAGCCGTTACGCATTACATATCATACAAAATCTACGGGGTATCAAAATTAGAGGATTTTCCATTAAATTATAGTTGGCCATGGAATTGTAGATGCGCAGTGATCTAAAAATGAATTTCTGCACTCGTTGACGCCCGTCTGTCCGGCATCTGCGTTAGCTTGGTTATCTTAATCAATTAAGCATATCAGGTCATCTCTGGATAGTGTGAAATGAAACGTGGCATATTTGATCATACGTGGGACTGATTTATAACCCAAGCTGTCATTTAATTTGTAGGGCAAAACGAAAACAAAGAATCAGTGATTAAAGATTTGTCCGTTACCGTTAATCAGGAGCCATTTTGTAGGCATCAATTAATCACTAGGAAATATGAAAGGGTTTAGTCCGTAAAGTTTTTTGAATTTATTTGTTTCTGGACTGCGATTAATTATTAACGTGCATTTAAATGCATTAAAAAGAACAATATACTTGAAGTTTTCATAAAGTATGCGTACATATTAATAATAATATAGTATACTATCTAAAGACATGATTACACGCTAAACTAAACCTACGGCCCAAATAATGGGAGCTTTCGATGCTGAAATGATTTGGAAAATTTGATATTTACCATCATACAAAATAAATACTGTTAAAATCTTACTTTGATTAAGGGTGGTAATGAAGTCCATTTGTTAATAATAATTAAGAATGCATTGTTATTTATTTATTTATTATCCCTCTCTTGTTCTGGGCCCTCAACAGGCTTGTCACCCAATTAGAGAGTGACCCGCATAATGCTTTTTAGAGGTGCCTCGTGCAGAAGGTCTTAAGTGGTTCTATACTACTCCGGTATTTACCTTACGAATTAGGAAAACTGCAGGAAAACCTAATTCGGAGTAGCCAGTAGAATCGGAACTGGTCCAAGGTAAATCCAATCTCTGCCACAGATGAGAAATTCACCTCAACCCAGGTTCGAACCTCCGGATTTATAGCCCAACGCTCTACCATCTGAGCCATACAGCCGGTTGTTATCCATATAAACGAAATTTAATCATAAGTTAATAAACTAATCAAAATAGTACTAAAGCGTTTCTTACATTAAATTACCTTGACTTTAGACAAGAATCAGTGGTATAATTCAAGTGAATTTGATCAACAATGCAATTATTTAATATTCCTATTATATATTCAGATTTAGCATCGACGATATTTTTACATGCGTTTATTATTGACGCGGAGATTTCTTCCTTTTTACCTTCTATATCGTACAACTCTAAAAATGTCATTCCTAATGGGACTAAGGTGTCCCATTTTAATTTATCATTATCATCAAGCATCCCCATAAGTTTAAGCCAACATACTCCATACTCGTTCGTAAACGGATCGTCAATTTTTACTTTATAGTCCTTGTCAAATATTTTCGCAATTCTTTCTCTTTTAACGTTTAGCTGTTCAAAGCATACATAATCTTCCTTATTGTAAACTTCGTTCAGGTGTTTTCCCAAGACCTACAATAATAAAAAACGTACATTTTATGAGACGTGACCATCAGTAGCTGTACTTGATAAACTGCAATTGCTAGCAGGAGGTGTTGAAGAACTTGCATTATGAGTCCATAAAAAGGTCGTTAAATAGATCACTTTGATAACTAAGTGTTGATTTGTTCACCTATCAATAATCTCAACACGCGTCGAATTATTTATATACTTACGCAGTACTTGAGTTAAAGTTTATCATTATTTCGGTGTAACCCTCGCTTACTCGTTTAAAAAAAGATAAAGAAAAATATAAAGTACAAGTACGATTAAGCAATTGTTGTTTTCATTTCATTGGGTATTGATATCACTGATAATTTGGTAATTATAAATCCCTTTTGTACCATTACAGTAATTAGGCAATTAGGTAATTCAAATTGGTATGGGTAAATAAGAGTAGTATTATAAAATATAGGTAGGAGTACATGTGAAAGTTCACAGAATCATCCGAGAAAACAATATGCAGGGTGCGTCAGAAAAATGGTCGGATATTTCAACTACTCAGGAAAAGAAAGAAACAGTTTTAATAAACACATAGCTCCAAAAATTAAGTGTTTCAGAGTTGATTTTGTGTCTTAATTTAAATATTTTTGTATTCGATCGAATAAGAGCTTCCTTTCAACGAAGATATCCAAATGGAAGGAAGACACATAGAATTTTACTTTACATTATGAAACAACACTCTTCCTTTGCTTTATGGATGTTATTTGTTGAAGACAATACAAAATTTGCTCTATCCCTAAAACGCTTAATTTGTGGACCTAGGTTCATTAAGACTTTTTGACTTCTTTTCATTTTCATACATGGATGATATTATACGACCTTTTTTTAAACACCCTGTATAGTAGATATATTAAATATTAACAGCGGTAAAGACCTGTTACCGATCGTAGACAATTGTCAGATATTGATTTAATTCTTACGTTTGCACAACTTGTTGAGAAATAAAACGCATTAAACACGTATTACACAATTATTAGAAGTTTAGAGCACAATTCATTTAGATATCAACCCAGCCTTTATTCCCATAGTCACAGAATCAGGCCCATGTTCAAAAGCCCTTACAATATTTTTCATGTTAAACCATACGATTGTAAACCGGCGGCGGCGTCAGGTGACCGGCATTCTTTCCTGGCGAGAGTACCCCGTACTGTATATATGCAAACATATATGGAGTATATGTATTTTGGAAAATTGTCTAAAGTCTGGAGAATACATTGCAGACACATAAAAGCAGTTCAACAGCCCTTACAAATGAATAATGATTCATTTGCCAATAGTATTTTACATTATTAGCCAGGTAAGTGAGTTTTTACTGGCGATAGGAGAAGTTGACTGTCATCTCCTAGAGCCAGTAAAAACTATTACCTGGCATATAATGTACATATTTGTTACTCATTTGTAAACAATAGTAAACGTAAATCGAGACGTAAATAATTAGTTTTTAAATTGATCTCAAAGAAATGTCTAAAATATCATGTTATCCATGTAACAGAGACTTCGCATTAATTCTGGCCAATGAAATTACTAGATTATTAACTTGTAAAATTTTTACACGTCAGCTGTCAGTTTTACAAGTCAGTAGCGTTTAAAGATGACGTTTACCCGTTTGCGTTTTGTCTTGCTAATCAACGTTTACAACTGAGTAACAAATAAAAGCTTTTTTCTTCAAACGTCATATAATATTGACATTACGTAGCCCAGCACTCTGAGTTAAAGTTTGACTTTTTAGAACAATCGAACAAGCGGCAGTGAAGTATTTTAGTGCCTAGGCAATAAAACGCTTCAGTGCCAGTGTCACATTGTTTTGCTTTGACAAGTTGATGTTATTTACATTAGGTTCTTGGTTCACCTAGCAAGTGCGTTGATCTTTCCTTCTGATTTTAACAGAAATAAAAATATAGTCGATCAAAAGAAGCTATTTATTTATTTAAATAATAGTTAATGTTGAAAGTTCAGTTAGTCATATTACCATTATTGAAATTAAACCTTCGTTCCTGCAGCATCCAAGTTTTGAAGAGTCAAGTTTTGTTTGGCTCGTCTTATTTCTAATGAATGAATGAAGTATTTTCAAAAAACTGGATTGGTTTCTGCTTCAAATGAAGGAGTAGTTGAAGTCATTCCATCTGATAAACCTGGATTTTCTAAAGTTGTCGAAAGTATTTTTTGTGCAATTTCATTTTTATTTGAAATCGAAAAACTCGTCCACAATTAAAACGTCAAAACTAATAATGGCCAACTATAGCAATTGTTATAGTCACCACGGCCGACGCGCTCACGGCTACCCATAACGATCGGGTTAATATTTCTTCCGATTTGAAAACCATTATTTGGGCGTTACTCTCACGTTTGAAGAAAAAATAGCATATATTATGCGGAGCTAAAGTAACTTCTTATGGCTCGTCAGTATTTTGCTGGCCTCGCTTCGCTCGGCCATCAAACACTGACTCGCCATAAAAAGTATCACTTTAGCTCCTCATAATATAATATACTATTACCTCGCACCTACACTAGAATAGGCATGTAAAGGCAATAAAACTTGGCCCTTTATTGCATTCTTTCATTTGATTTTTTTCGTCGCTGTTGATTATTCCTATTCGCAATCGCATTGTCTTTTACTTTCTTTCATCTGTTGATATTCATTCATTACACTTAGTAAATAGTCTAGGTATGTATTAGTCTCGCCAGGAAAGATTGCCGGTCACAGCACACCTTGTGTCGATCTACAATCAATGTGTTTCTTAAGATGCGAGAGACTTCCGGGAAAAGACTTTTTGTTCAACATTGACAGGATACTATCCCGGAAGTCGCTCGCATCTTCAGAAAAACATAGATCGGGATCAAGTATTCTGTGACCGGCAAACTTTCTTGGCGAGAGGTTTACCTACGTTATTTTCTATTGCTCTCTACAAATATTCTTCGGTTTTTTATGGTGTAGATAGCAGTAGAAATCTAGTAAATAAGGTATGGAAGGGAGGGGGGTTTATCCGAAGAATGGAAAGAAGTGTAGATCTTCAAACGAGGGAATAAAGATTGTGTGGGAACTTACACGGGAATTACTGTAATGACTATGGCGTATAGAGTCATTTGCAGTGATGTGGAACGAAAGACTAGAAAGAGCGAAATAGAAGAGAAAAGTATGCTGGTGGTAACACAAATGGGAGTTAGAAAAGGGAGGGGAACGATTGTCTGTATAAGTGTATATATTATACAGGGTGTCCCTAAAAGGTCTGTACAACGCGCTACCAGGGGTTCTTGGTATCAAAATAGGACGATTTAAGCCTACTTACCTCTATCCAAAAGTGCTTCGTTAAGGCGCTATTTGCCGCCAAAGATTCAAAAAACAAATCGTTATTTTTATTTTATCGGAAAATGGTTTTGCCGATTAAAATGAAAGTCGGGATGTGAATGTCTAATGTAAAAAGGGTCTTTGTGTTGTGATATATCATCGTTTTGATTGTAGTTGCTATGTAGGTGGTAAAATACTGACCATCCACATCTGAAGAGGTCTAAAACTTTTTAACTACTATTTTGACGGTATTGAATTTTTAGACACTGATAGACAGTTTACTTGCAAGCATTTTTTGTCTCTTGATGAATATCGCTATCTGTGATGGTTTACGAAAAAAAATAAATTTAGGCATGATGAATGGCATGCACCATACATGCGATTGTTCCTCAAAAAATCAGAAGATGGCTGTTAAACCTTAGAGTGGCTTAACGTTTGTTTGTTGTTTCTTAAACTTTAACAATTTACGTTTTGCTTGAAGACTTAAAACTTTAAAAAATAACGTACCAATGTTCCAAAGGGCACAGTTTAATTTATTACGCCGTATAATGCTTTGTATGCGTGAAAATGGTGGTCACTTTGAACATTTAGTACGTTTAAATTAATACATTACATTGACTTACTCTGTTGTGTTCGTTTATTCTACATTACTTGCTTGCACTACGGTTTCATAGCCTACTTCTTGCTTGCACTTATGGTTTTTGAGGAACAATCGCATGTATGGTGCATGCCATTCATCATGCCTAAATTTTTTTTTTTCGTAAACCATCATAGATAGTGATATTCATTAAGAGACAAAAAATGCTTGCAAGTAAACTATCAGTGTCTAAAAATTCAGAATCGTCAAAATAGTAGTTAAAAAGTTTTAGACCTCTTCAGATGTGGATGGTCAGTATTTTACCACCTACATAGCAACTACAATCAAAACGATGATATCACAAAGACCCTTTTTACATTAGACATTCACATCCCGACTTTCATTTTAATCGGCAAAACCATTTTCCGATAAAGTAAAAATAACGATTTGTTTTTTGAATCTTTGGCGGCAAATAGCGCCTTAACGAAGCACTTTGGGATAGAGGTAAGTAGGGTTAAATCGTCCTATTTTGATACCAAGAACCCCTGGTAGCGCGTTGTACAGACCTTTTAGGGACACCCTGTATATTACACAGATTGGCGGAAACGGAATTGTAAAAAAATAAAAAGGGCGGAAATTTGTTCGCGATTTTTGTGGATTGAATGTAAGAATAAGAGGGAAGTGTTTTGGACATGTATCTAAAGGAGTAAAAGACAGGGATGTTCCCTTAGCCCAACTTTATCTGATGGAAACTCTATTAAGACAGGGCAAGGTAGAGGGGAAAGAAGAAAGATATGCTCTCTGGGATACGTGGACGACGCAGTAACAATGAGAACAGAGGTAGAACAGATGAAGGAAAAGAATGGGGGTGTAAGGAAAAGGGGCATGAAACTAGAGGGAGGAGAGAATAGAAGAGGTAAAAGTAATTATTTTAGGGTACTAAAAAAAACAATGAGAAATGAGAGAATTAAGGAAAAATGGGGTGGTGTTGATGAGACAGGTGTGGAGGATTGGAGAGAGGGAGCTCAAGAATGACAAGAATGTACGATGCATTGGTGAAAGAGTTGCTCATCTTCGGAACCGAGATATGGGGATTGGGGGGTAGAAGGAATGGGAGAAACTGGAACAATACAAAGAAGATATTATAAATGGGTTTTAGAATTAAACGGAGGATGACACCAAATAATATATTAAAGGAAGAAGCAAAAACGGCAAAGATGATAATAGCGTCGGGGCGTAGGGCGGTAAAATTTGAGAAAAGGAGCAAAGAAAATTGGTGAACGAATGCTTGAAAACGAGTATGAACGCAAAAGTAATTTGGGAAGAACTAAGAGGAAAAAATTACGAAAGAAAAGGACGGGGAAGGAGAAAATCGAAAATGAACTGGCAAAAACGGATCTGGATGAACAAATACAACAACAGAGGATGAGGATAGAGAGTGCACGAGGAAGTAAATAAGTTATAAAGATCTAATAAAGGAGTGGTTACCCAAACATTTGTGGGAAGGAACAAAAATATTAAAACAATAAGATTCAGATGCGGAAATGAAGAGGGTGAGAAAAGAAGAAGAATAAAAAAATAAAATAAATAAAAAACAGAAAGAAAATGTAGAATACGGGGAGAGGTAGAAGAGGGCATGGAAGGCATGTTATGGAACTGTACGGAGGTGGGATGGCAGAGAAAAGTGAGGTGAGATGAATGGGGACGAGGTGAGAAGTGAATGGCGTTGATTTTAAAGAAAAGAAGGAAATTTTTGTTTTATTTTGTTATAAGGTAAAGGGCACCCCTAATTATGGAACCGATTATGTAACCACAATTCATTTTGTTTGTGATAATATTTTTTTGCATTTAATCTAACCTAATCGTAATAATGTGTGTCAATTTACCTTTGTTTTAAACGAACTGGGCCTTGATAATATTGTTACTTTACTTTGGTGGGACTCTGGACTAAAGATCTCCCAAAGATTCTCTTAATTTAGCTTTTCTACCGTTTTTCAATGGTAATGTTTTATTCCTAGATGGTGGGAAAATATACTTTTAGCTTTTTATGACATGGCCTTCCTAAGGCTTTTAAACAATATACTTTTGTACATAGATAACACATAGTTGCATAATTGTAACAAAAATATCTATAATTAATTTCGCTATAAAAAAACTATCGAAAATCAAACTAATTATTGGAAATCAACGTGACAAGTAATCAACGCTCTGGGCCTAGTAGATTTTTTGCGCAATCATGAATGTTTTGTACGACAAGAATTTACATTGAATGAATGATTCGTCACACTTTCTTAGTGAGAGTTTTGAATTATATTCAAAGGTGAGAGTAAAAATGTAAAATCCTATATACTCATCGAGACAGTGCATCAAAAATGGTGTGCCTGCTACTATTATTATGCGTCCTGCCGTACGTATCCTGTAAGGTGAATTGTTTGCTAGCTTGTAATTAGTACAACAATTTAAAAACTATGTATTTAGCTGCCTCAATCAACGATCCACATATGGGAATCAATCGCCGAGGGCCACGATCTAATATGCGCCGATAAATTTGGTATTGACAAAAATCTTGCCAAATATCACTTTCGGAATCTCTATCTTCCGGACAACAGAGCTTTTCATTGTTTTCTGAACTGTCTGTACGATAGGGTCGGTTTTATAGATGAAAATGGCGAATTCAAGTATGACGTGGTCGTTGAAAAAGCGCATTTTTTATCCGATGAGTTGGCGAAAAGATGCATCGCGGAAAGCCATCAGCAACTAGATTTTTGCGATAGGACGTACGTTGGTGGTCTATGTGCCGTGTCCGATTTGGCAGGAGTAGACCGTAGTAAACTCAATGTACGAAATTAGTTATGTTATGGTAGTTTCTGCTATATTTTTCAATGGATGTTTTGTAAGGACACTTCAGAAAAAGTATAGCACTTATTATTATTATCATTACTTTTGTTATTATTATTAAGTATATAAAATAGTTGTTATCATACGAAATATATTATTTAATTTATTTTTTGTGTTTGATGTCATGATCGCAAATAAGGATCTTGCGAAGTGCATACATGCCATTATATAAGCTTCAGAGAATGGCACTGTAGAGTTACAATAGGAGTTTCTATACAAGGAGAAGCATTAATTCGTACCGTAGTTGGTATAGGCATGGTTAATGCTTATTTGCCTATATTGTGACAGCGTGTGCGGAGTTCTCGCGTCGAGACCTTTATTTCGCAACCCGGATAATTTGCACCCCGCACATTTCGCATAATTAGCATACAGAAAATTCACAAGAAAACTTTAGTAACAGGTTGTGTAAATCTTATTGCTTTTTATCTTTAAAAAAAATTCTTAATGGCTTACTTCAGGGTTGTTTTCTTAATGCAATTCACATCTTTATATATCGCTGACATGATATTTCTCTCCCTTTATATTTTCCGGAATAATTTACACCGGAGTCATTTACAACGATTATCGCCGCTTCCTAGAGAATTTAGTACTAACATTATTAACATATAGAAAACTGAAATCGCATTAAAGGAACTCGCAAGGGAAGGAGTGTCTCAAACGTATTAAATATAGTGCATTATTGTGTGAACTACGCCATGACGACGTTTTACTTGGCTTCGGCACCTGCAATAACGATGGGACACCCTATATGTTTTATTTCAATTATTTTGAACGTTAAAAGTTGGCTGTAATTTGAGATTTAACACAGCATTCGATCCTATATGAGTTCGAGGTCAATTTTATTTTGTATCAGAATTATTAGTTGTTAGTTGTGTTTAAATAGATTTAAACACCTGAAAATAATTGTGTAGGATTTGTAAAAATTTATCCCCGGTCTTTTGTGACAAGAGTTCAAACTAATGTGTAAGCTAATTAGTTTTAAGATAAGCATGTATTATCACCGAGGTAAGCAGATGTTAATTCTTTCGAGGGGGCAATATTTTGTTAAGACAGTAGGAATGGAAACGAGAAAGGGAAATTGTTTTAAATAGAAGAGGAAGACGCTAATGGTTTATTTCGTGGTGGACGTTGAAACGTAGCCGTTTGTTTTGGTGTTTGGCGTATTGCAGCATTTGATCTTATTTGAACAATACATTCAGTTTTTCAGTATCGAATCTATTAGTGCAGCGGAGAGCCGGCGCTAACTCGCTTATTTGAGGTAGTTTTTTTTTTCGGAGTAGAAAGAATTGGGACCCACACCATTTTGTTCAGAAATGTTTGAACCTTCAGAATCTCGCTTTACGACATTTTCCCGTGGTCCTGACAAAAGTTATAGGCCGCTAAAGTTGAAATTTACTCATTTTCGCGCGCGCGACTAGACCACCGAAAGTATTTATTTTCTCAGCAACTAAGCGATATACATCAATAATTCCTTTTGTAAAATGAAAGTACATTTATAGCAGAATCTAAAGCATTCAATTTACCTACCTTGTTATGCACAGTTTTTAGAAAAATGACCGTTAACTTCCAAAATTCGTGTAGCAGATGAAAAGTGCGCACTTTGAACTCTCATAACTTTTTATTTCACGATATCGATTTCCAATATTAATAGCTCATTCGATGCTCAAAGCATTGTGATTATTTTATTTCCTATAACATTACCGTGAATTTTTCATAATAAAAAAGTTACAGTCATTTAAGTAAAAACCTACCGACCTCGCCGAGTCGGGTAATCGCGAGTGAGACGGAGAGGGAAGGATAGTCAGCAGCGTTCGCTAAACAAGGAGCGATAAGTAGGAGATTTTACTTACTAAGAAATTTCTCTTCCGAATACCAAAACTAGCTATTTAGGCCGTTTAGTTTACAAAAATGCATTCCGCCGAGTTGCATTGTAAAATCTCAAACAATTCATTAACTCCATGTATCTCCAGTTCTTTGGTGAAATATACCTTTCCCTGTAAATTTTGGGGGTTACTCCACATCAGGTATCTCTTGTGCTGTGCTGTATATTGCAAGATCAGCAGTAACAACGGTATGATTTTGTCCCAAAGATTCAGGCTTGTTTTTTTGATTTCACAGAGATGGTTAGGATGGTATTGTAGCTCGCTGGTGGAGAATTCAAAAACGGCCATAGGTATATTATTGAATGGTAGATACCGGAACTTACTTAGGAGGATTATCAGCAGGTACTTAGGCTGTTAAAGTCAGTTATCTGGTCGTTATCTATAGTGATAGGTAAACCTGGTGGTCAATCATTTCTAGACATGCCGTCTGCATGATCTCGAATTTAAACTTAACTTAAATAATTTAAATATGTAGTCATCTCAATAGTTTCAAAACTTTTATGAGTTTATTTTTCCCCCCGGTTCTTTTGAAATGTGTTAAATTCAACTTTCAACTTTTAATGTAATAATTCAACCCTCCGGTTGGTTGTCTTCTTAACAAGGCTTGATAATAATTCGTTTTGAAACTTAGAACAACCTTTCCGGTTTAACCACCCTTCAGGTTTTTTCACTTGGCTTCGGCCAGTTAATAATTAAAAAACAACATGTTCGTCTTATTCGTCTTCAACGTTTGTAACTTACCGTTTTCCTGTTAAATATCACATCGCCTGATGATGGCAGTACGCCGAAGCTATAGTCGCTTTTATTTTTAAAAACTTCAACGAATAAAAACTATATGGGGAAGGTTTAGAGAGTTTTGATCACACAATATATTTCAACCCCCATTTCGAGGAACGATGGATCCAAACACCAAAAAAAAAAAATAATCCATGTATTCGTTTAGGAGCCACCCTCAAAAAAGTGGTAAAGTTTCTTTTTTTCTCAGCAACAGTTACAGAGACTGGTGGTAAGTCTTTGAATAGGTTTTGCTGTATGCCCTTTCCGGTTTTGCAAATAATTTTTCAAATTTCCTACCGCAAAAGGACACACCCCTCAATAGGGGTGCGAAAAAATGTTGATTTCGACGAAATTTGGTATCTGGTGGTTTTTGAATCTGAAATTAGTTTTTGAAAATTCGAAAAAAATAATTCCACTGCAATTCTTGGCCGGACAACGAAAATTGACAAAATTCCACGAAGTTTGTTGTCTAGGTACATACTACGGAAAAATTATTGAACAGTTTTTTTAAGGTCATTTTTCAAACAAAAGTTACACTCATTTGCAAATTGGTCTTTCGGGTCAGAAAATGTTCTCCGACAGTGGCATAACAAGTACAGTAAACGTCAATATTACATGTTCTGCTAAGGGTGTCTACCTACATTTCACAAAAATTTGTCAAATAAAAAATGATAATTTTATCACAGCGAGCAACTTCGACATCAATTAATGAGGAAACAGTCACAGAATAAGAATAAGTAGGCCATATTCTGTGGAAACAGACGAAAAAAATTCAACGCACAGTCTTTTTTCAAAAGCGAGATACATCGACAGAAGAAATCCAAATTCCTCGTTTACCTATCACTAGATAACGACCAGATAACTGACTTTAACAACCTAAGTACATGCTGATAATCCTAAGTAAGTTCCGGTATCTACCATTCAATATATGTATGCCGTTTTTGAATTCTCCACCAACGAGTTACAATACCATCCTAACCATCGTCTAGTGAAATCAAAAAACAAGCCTGAATCTTTGGGACAAAATCATACCGTTGTTACTGCTGATCTTGCAATATACAGCACAGCACAAGAAATACCTAATGTGGAGTAACCCCCAAAATTTACAGGGAAAGGTACCTATTTGTACCTATATATTTCACCAAAGAACTGAGATACATGGAGTTAATGAATTGTTTGAGATTTTACAATGCAACTCGGCAGAATGCATTTGTAAACTAAACGGCCTAAATAGCTAGTTTTGGTATTCGGAGAGAAATTTCTTAGTAAAGTAAAATCTCTTACGCATCGCTCCTTGTTTAGCGAACGCTGCTGACTATCCTTCCCTCTCCGTCTCACTCGCGATTACCGACTCGGCGAGGTCGGTAGGTTTTTACTTAAATGACCGTAACTTTTTTATTATGAAAAATTCACGGTAATGTTATAGAAAATAAAATAATCACAATGCTTTGGAGCATCGAATGAGCTATAAATATTGGAAATCGATATCGTGAAATAAAAAGTTATGAGAGTTCAAAGTGTGCACTTTTCATCTGCTACACGAATTTTGGAAGTTGACGGTCATTTTTCTAAAAACTGTGCATAACAAGGTAGGTAAATTGAATGCTTTAGATTCTGCTATAAATGTACTTTCATTTTACAAAAGGAATTATTGATGTATATCGCTTAGTTGCTGAGAAAATAAATACTTTCGGTGGTCTAGTCGCGCGCGCGAAAATGAGTAAAGTTCAACTTTAGCGGCCTATAACTTTTGTCAGGACCACGGGAAAATGTCGTAAAGCGAGATTCTGAAGGTTCAAACATTTCTGAACAAAATGGTGTGGGTCCCAATTCTTTCTACTCCGAAAAAATTTTTTGAACGATTTCGCGGCTCTCTCCGCTGCACTATATCGAAGTTATAAAGTTTTGTAGAAGAAAGTCTAGTCGAGTTCATCTCAACTATGTGTTACGTTACACGGAGACAGCGACGTAACTATAATTTTGAGGCCCCCCCGCAAAAATTTTTATTGGCCCTCTCCCCAAGTCCCTAAACAAAAAGGCAGTGCCTAAGAAGAATTTTTATTAATTTTTACAAGTTTTGCCTTAAAATAAACAAAAAAAAGGTTAAGACGATATTATACATTATAAAAATTTAAAATATACAGTAGCAGCAAATTCATCAACCAAACTAATCACAATTTTCTCAAAGAAGTTGAGAATACTCAAATAAGGAGATTAGTTGGGGGCCCCAGCACTCTGGGGCCCCCCCGCAGTCGCTGTAGCTGCGGGTACCTAGTTACGTCCCTGCACGGAGAACAGTGAGTTTTATAAGTCGAGTTAATCGGAAGCGTGTTTTACGTTTGCGAAGGAGTTTCCCAATACCTGTTAAATGGAATTTTGTCCACCATGCGCTACTATAATTGTAATTACAAGTCAGTGTC